ACAAAAGAACACAACTTTATTTTTGTAGGACAATGGTTGAGAAACAACATAAACAAGAACTCAATATGCGGTCAACCCAAAATCTCTGATTAACAAGATATTCATTACATTGTAAGAATGTTTCAATTACATGAACCAAGAATAAATTGTTGGCATTAAAAAGAATTACAGCATAAATGTTTTCAATAAATTGGCACATATGGAACCTTTTTTCCAAGGTTGCGGGCTTTCCACTATAGTAACAGAAGGTTACTTTCCAGTTATGCCGGTGCAGTGAAAAGTAAGCACTTCTATAATATCTCCGATAATGTATTTAGAGTTGGAGAGGTTGAAGCAAAATCCCTTCCACCGTCTAAAAAATGCACCCATAACGGGTTGTAATCAATGAGCTTATTCATCTATTGTTCATAAGCGCTCTGCAAATCAGAAAACAAGTGAACGGTAATAAAATTGAACTTGAAAATTAGCTGAGAAGAATGCTTTCAACTACTTTGCCGGCACACAATAAAAACGAAGATATATGAAGAAATCTTTGAACATGCATCAGAAGGCAATAATGTTGAGTGCAACTACAAAAGAATCCAAACTGTTGATCTTGATGGGATGTGTTGATCGATGGTGTGTTAATAGTTCCTGATTTCAAACTCCAAAACCCAGTGATAGGTTTTCCCTTGTCTCCAGGACACGCTTGAATTATATATTATATAAAATCACAGTTTTGTGATTTCCTTTTACCTCTATAATCCACCTGTCTTCTCTTCCCCAGTCCTGGAATACTCTCCCAGGTGGCTAGCCGTAATCCATCTTAAAGATGGGGAGGAAAATGATAATGTGAACTAAGCTGCCATAATGACGTGATCGAATAGAAGCTGGAACAGAAAGAGAAGCTAAATAAATAAAGAATACAAAACGAAACATAAGAAATTGAAGCTTGCTCTTCTTTTCTATTTCGAATTTCAACTTGCTTCGCCGAGATTCCTGCCACTATCTACTGGGTGTATTTTTCTGATGATGATGAGATTTCTTTCCCATCGAATTCGAGGGCAAATTTTTCTCAACCCAGGGAGAATGATGAAGGCAAAATAATAATTCCATTTAATTTCGGGTTTGTCCATTTTTGGTGAATTGCTAGTCTAATTAGATTGAAAACTGGCCAATGATCACAACTCAGGGCCTTTGGCCCTGAATCACGTTAGATTTTGGGCAGATTCCGTCATTTAGGCCTTCAATTAAACGTTTTTGCCGTTTATGGTAATTTTTGTTTTGACAATATCT